GCACACCGAAAATAATTTTTTTATAAACAATTTAAGTTCGAAATTTTTGCCAAAATTAAAATTTTTTTTAGGAACGCTATTTTGTCTAAAAATTTTATTTTGGCTATTATGGGTACACATAATGAATAGGATTCATAATATATGAATATGCATGCCAACGCGTTTTTATTTCCCCAATATTTAATAAATTATTGAAATTATTGAAATTCGAAGGAATATTTGAGAATTCAAATAATCGTACATCATGATGATCTGAATCGAATTCATCTGCCGGAAGATTTTTATAACCTTAATAAATACCTTTTTTTAACATTCTATTTCCAGTCTCTAAACAACCACCACAGAAGAGATATACATTTGTAACTGGTTTTTATAAAAATTAATTGCATGAGTAATCGAAGTACAAGTAAATATACACGCATTTCCTTATGAAAATGGCGAGAAGAGTGTTTCTAGAGCTTTCGTTAATGGGAGCGTTCACTGTACTTATGTCTGCATCTATTTATTTATATTATTTTAATAAACCTAGGCATGCATGCAAATGTACAATTTACTTATGTCAATACATATATGTATATACATATGTATGTATACGTTATTATGGACGCAACTTTTGCGTTTGATATTAACATCTTAGGTGCCTTCATATAAGAGTTTTGACGCCACTACTTCTTGCGATTAGGGAGTGAAAATATCAAAAGATAAGGAGACTTTCTGCCCGTTTACTACTTGATCTCTCTCTCTATCTTTTGCCTTCTCTTATAATTTTTGTCGCTGCATAGGAATTTCTAAAATTACAGGAAAAATGAGCAAGCAGCTGCTTGATAAAAACAGCTCAAAAATATCATTTATTAAAATTGAAAATAGCATACTACCGATTTGACGTTTCGATTGCTGCACAGTGTCAAAAATTAAAGTAATTCCCTTTTTTTGTAAATTGTGGATCTTGTTTATGTTTATAGTGAAACAGAAAAAAATAAAATTAAATAAATAACTGCAATAATAAAAATTCTATGTAAAAGTACACAACTTCCAATTCTGGGGTCCTACGCTTTTGTATCCTAACAGAATTTTCCCGTTTATCACAGAATAATTCCCCTTAAGCCTTGAGCTACTTGTGTTTCTTCCTAATTTTTGAGTTATACCGGATTTTCATTTCACACTGAATTCTTATATTTTAGTCAAGTAATTTTATGATTTTTCAAACTGTATAATGAAAGTAGAAGTGGAATGTTGTTTAAATTTTTTAAAGCGATTTTAAACAATCTCTAAATAATATAAGCTTCATGTAATGTGTGGACCTTGGATACAATTTAACTGTTTATTTTCGGCTAATTGAAATATCACTTTATCTCCGTCGGTGCATACTATCTCAGATCTCTCAATCGAAGATATGTGGTATAATATAATTAGACGGCTAGAGTTAAAAGAGTTACTGAAACAGGAAACATCGAAACAAAATTCCGACACATGACATCATAAACCAGTGTAATATATATCAAAAGTAGTTCAAATAAAAAAAAAAAACGTTAACTGGGGCCCCATTGAAACTATAATTCTCTTCACAATTAGAACAGATTCTTTAAAAGAATTTGATTTTTATCGATTAGTTTGTATAATAGCTCCATTCTGAATAATTTCTTCAGGAATGGTATGGTTACTTTGGGCAAATCTATGTAAAATTTATGAAGATATCTCGTTAATAAACATGTAACAAGGACACGAATTTGATCGTTCATTTTTTTTGACATATCCGACGGTTCGGTGCAAAATTTGAAATCGAATATACATACAGACGGACATGATTAAATCAACTCAGCACGTCATGATGATCATTTATACTTGCATATGAGTCCAACCAAGGCCCATATAAAAGAGGTGGTCTAAGTAGAGGTACTTTTTTCAATAGCCTTCTTTGATAGATCACGCGTGATTCGTGTCAAGCTGTCATGTTATGTTTGTTCAGTATTGTTTGGCATTTCATCATGGAAAAACTTACGCCTGAACATCTCTTACAAATCCTTCAACTTTATTACAAAAATCACGGTCTGTAAAAAATTTTTTTTCTGATGCTTCGATCAACTTATGGTCAACATATTCGCCTATTCTGGCTCAATGAATGTGTAAACAAGCAAAATTGCCGCATGGGGAACGGAGAGCAACCGGAAGAGAATAAGAGCTACCATTTCATCCAGAAAAAACAACGGTTGGTTGTGGTTTCTGGGTCGTCAATGCCAACCGTTATCGCGCCATTATAACCGACTATTTGATGTCTGAAAATGAAGGTCGTGATCTCGGCGAAATTTGGTTTAAATAAGATGGCGTCACTTTCCACACATCGCATAAATCAATGAATTGATTGATAGCACACTTCGGTGAACAGATAATTGCACGTTTTGAGCAGGTCGAGTGGCCATCAAGATCATGTGTTCCGTTAGACTTTTTCCTGTGGGAATATGTAAGGTCTAAAGCCTATGCGGACAATCCCGCTTCGATTCAGGCCTTGCCCTGCGCGGTTCACAACGAATGGTGTTGAAATTTACATGGTATATTTATAAATAAAGTATCTCAATAATATTGAAATTAAAAAAAAAAATAAATAAATATTTTTAAAGTTATACAAGAACTCCGTCGGCACTAAAGCCGTTCCGACTACATTTTCTTAAGAGTAGTATGATAATTCTGTAATGTAATCGGAGTAGTTTTTCCACTTTTTGTCGCACTGTGGATCTCCTGCACTTTCTGTCTGCTGTCCTGCATGCCAGCATCAGCCAAACCGCGCATAGCTGCACATAAACAAACAAGCGCACCGGCACATGGGTGCAGATGAGTTCCGCATACGCGGTGCACGACCTATACATGAAAAGCGCCCGCCGTCTCAGCTCCACAATGACGAACGCAACGCTCGCACCAAAACCGAAAATAGCGGAGCATACTAAAAAGCCATAAGTAAGTGTGAATGTGTAAGTGTTCGTATGTGTGTCAGCGACGGCAACGAGCAACCATGCATTGCTCCGGCCGCCGGCCGATCCGAATACTCAGTCTGAGGAAAGCTGTCGGAGATCCAGGAGGTGTTGTCGCTGGATGCGGAGTAGTGCGTGAACAGTCCGATTTTGCTCTTGCCTACACACACACACACTCATAATACAAGTAAGCAGAGCGTGTGCGGGATATTTGAAGTGATCGTTTGAGAAGATTTGTAGTCAGTCAGCGACGTCCCGTCCATAAGTACTTAGGTAAAAATAAGGTGTACGAATCCATTGATCGTCGGTGGAAAATTTTTAAAGTAATTGGAAGGCGTTTCAAATTTGTAACAGTTAGTAGTGTTTGATGTCAGCTGAAGTTTTGTGCTTTGTGGACGACGGGCGCCGGAGCTAGCATATAACGGTTAAAAAGTGTCGTTTAAAGTGGGTTATCGGTGGAAATCAAAAATTTTGAATTCGTCATATACAAATTTTAAAGTGAATTTGCAAAAACCAAAAGTGTTTTCGAAGTGCAATGGCAAATTGTGAAATATTTGTGTGAATATAGCCACTCGCATATATTATTGAGATGCTAAAATTTTAAAAATACCATACCAGCGAAGGAAAAAGATTACAGGCTGTCGTGTATAAGCCCGCTGAAGCGACCACATTCGCGTGTGTTCGTGTTTATACGCGTGTGCGCTGGTGCGCTAGCTGGTATATGAATTCCGTTATTCTGCGGCGTGCTAAATATAAATATTGTATGCATATGTTTGTTGTAGCTCCTGTACCTAATAATTTCGACTGATCGAGTTTGTGTTGTGATCTCTCCGAGAGAAAAGATAATAGGAAACTATATAATCGCACCACAAGATATAAATACACGCATACCAATATACACTTACATATATATATGCACAAATATAAAATAGTAAAATAAGCAATTAGTGTATTCAAATATTATTAATAGTTAGTCCCTATGTACATACATATGTATGTATGAATATATACATACATATATATCTGTTAAGCTACCTACAATTCGTTCCTTTGTAATTTCGCGCTTTTGTAATTTCATGTTTCATTGCATAGATGCGCTTGAACTGAAATAACCAAAAACACACACATATTATATACTGTACATGCAAATACATACACAAAAATATCCTATAGAGAATAAGTTTGAAGTGTCGAAGTGTTAAAATCGTGGCGTCCTTGCATTGGGTACACGAATAAGAATCGATCTTACCGCGTTCCCGATGGAGGCCGCGGACAATGCGTCAGCCGGTCTGCCAGCCGGCCAGAATGTAATTACAACAACAGCCGACAATGCGATAAACACAACAGGTAAGCAAATGAGCCACACAAAAGCGAATCATATGATTAATTGTTATGCAACGATATTTTCCTTTTCCAATTAAAAAAATGCGGTGTAAATTGGAGTCAAATTATTAGTGTGCATTATAGGATCCCAAAGCGCATCTCCGTAACGGCTTCAATTGCTATCTTCGACTTCAATTGCTATCTTCGACTTTGATTATCGAATTCGAGGTCCAAAGACAGAAATATTAATCGTATTGAGGAACCAAAGAATTTCATTTTAAATTTAGCAAAGAAGAGAAATAAGCTTGCGTTCCATCAATGTGCGGTGTAACATTGTCAATGTTTTTAATGCTTGTAACATGTTGCTACAGCATGGACCCGCCCACTAATAGATTTCATGTACATTTCAAAACGTTCAAACCAAAATAAACAAGTGCGCTCAAGATAAACCCTATAAGAACTCCTACCGACAATATGAAAATGACATATAACGGTGCGGACAAAAATTACTGAAAGCGTGATAAGTCTATAAAAAACTCCAGAGATATTCAATTTTACCCGAGAATGGTATTAGACAACTTTGTAAGGGAAGGGGCCAACTTATACAATGGTCGTGGTACCGCCCTCTTTTAAGTGAGATCAAACATCCTGGGACCTGCCTGACAAATTAAACCAAATTCCGTGTATTCCTATATCACAGTGTGAAAATAGGCGAAAGCCCCCACCTGCCACATATACCATTATTGTTTTCATTACTTTAACACTCTAACTCGTTTGGAACCGATCCTCTGGTTGCCGTTTGCACTTTAAGGTAATAATTTGATTGATAATAGTTCATTTCCCTGGCTTTGGTCTTGGCAAGTTACAAGAGTATGAAATGTTCGGTTTCACCCGAATTTAGTCCTTTGCTACTTGTTCGTAATTAATCCATTTTTACTATTGGAATATATTATTAGCTCGTTCTTCATTTTCGCTGTTTTGCGACAATTGGAGATTCTAAATGTAACCAGTTCCTTCTTCACCTGGTGCTTTCAACGGAGTGGCGGTCTTCCTCTTCTTCTGCTTTCAGACAAAAATTTGTAAACGATCTTTTCTCTGGAAAGAATATAATTTTTTTTGGACATGAATATAATTTCCAAAGGAATTGTTCAGAGGGGATCTCTACCCCATTCAAACTGATCGATCAATATCAAGTTATTAATTGAATCTTTTCTATGTGCAAATGGTATTACAGAATCTGTTCTTCAGCTACTATACTATACTATACTTGTATAAAAAAATATTCGTCAATTCACTTTTGCTCATATATAAATAGAGATATATTTGTACTCGTACTTGTATACATATTTCGGGCGGGCTCTTGCTCATAGCGTTTCATATACATAAATATCAATACTGTAAAATTTTTCTGCCTATTGTAGAGAAGATTTTTCATTGGAGGGGGAAGTTCAAATGAAGTTTTCGTATTTTATGCTCGCTTTTCGAAACCGCATATATTTGATGAAACCTTGCACAAAAATTTAACTTTACTTTGATAAAGTTATGTAATCATGTCAAAATGTGATTCCTAAAATAGATTTAATGCAAAGTTTACTCTGAAAATGAAGAATATATGTTGAAGAGCAGAAACATCATACATTCTGGAAAAGTTATTGTCATTTGATTAGACTTTGACGTTGATAGAACTTAGCAGTTCGCAAGCCCTAGGATTTGACTACCGTCTCCCAAGATATACGCTTTTGGTTGCTTCTATTTTTGTTTTTGTATCCTATTGACCGCAGTTAGCGAGAAAGTGAGAAAGTTGTTGCTCTATTTATAGTTTTGAAAATGCATTTGACTTTTGCTTCGAGCGAAATCATATTGCACTATTTGCCAGTTTTACAGAAATATGTTCATTGACGCCTCGTTCTTGCCACCTTCGAGAAGAAATGTGAAAGTTTCTTGTGCACGCTCAACGTCAAATTGCATTGTATTTGCTTGTATATTTGGATGTCATATGGGCAGACATAGTTGCATTCGAATAGCTTTGTTTTCTAAATAAATCTGGAATGTATCATAAAATTCAGATTGTTCAAAATTAAAGCTAATAATTGAAAATATATTATGCACATGCTAACGCTTGAATCAGCAGGCTGGACTTCTAGATTAACATAGGTATTGTAGTTAGATACAAAATGTCGCCGTTAAAATGATTAAAAGAGATTTCTGTGCATCTTGCTCTAGGGAATTATTGAGTTAATTGGAGGAACAGTCTATAGCAACACCTACTTTCTGAAAACTGCGGTTGACTTCAAGAGATGCTGCAATGCTAATATGAACTAAAATAAAGATAGAAGACATTTGAAATCCGGCTTTCTGTCTGTCTGTCCGTCAGTGAAAGCTGTAACTTGAGTATAAATTAAGATATCTTGCTGAAATTTGGTGAATTTACTCCTTTTCCCTGTTAGTTTGGTACTTTAAATTTGCTTGCATAACCCCATTTATCGAAAACCTAAAATTGCCATACCGGAAACTAACATACAAAAATGTTTTTTGTTATAACGAATTGAAAACATTTAAAAAGTGGGAGTGGTCCAAACCGTTCAAGTTATATCACCCAAATTTGTACAGGACAAATCGGATGATAACACCGACCACTACCTATAAAACGGGTTTGCTAAAAGCTACTAAAAGTGTTATAAATCAATAATTGCTTCACTTCTAGTATGTAAACCAAGAACAAATAAATATATCTGGAACTTTGAACTAATAGTGCCTTTCACGTATGCCATCTGAAGCTAAAAATTGACACAATTGGACCTTAACTGTCAAGCCCCCAGACACAGAAGATATGGGTCTCAGTGTCTACCGTTGACTATTTACAGAAAATATCAGTCAATATATCATCGGACAATAGCATTTTTGGGTTAAGCATACCTTATTGCTTTGTATTTGTTTTTATGTACAAAATAAAATGGAAAACCTCAACTTAATAAAAATGCCCACAATTTTTCATATCAATAATTTGATAAGTGGTACCGATCATCCATTTAGGATCCATTCATAAAGTAGACATTTTAAAATAGACTCCAAATTTTTAAAAATGGACAATTTTACTTTTCCAGTCATGTTCTGCAGATGTTTCTTTTAAATGTAGTCCCCAATATTGTATACTGGCCTTGATTCGACATCCGATGCTGGAGAAATTCGTAATCATGTCAGTGATCAGCTCTCATAATTGGGAGCTCTATGGTTTCCACAAAACCCATGCACTACTGCCGCCTTAAAACTATTCGATTTTTAATACTTTGTTTTCACTTGTTTTATATTTGTTTTTGAAGGCTTTGTACCATACGTAGTCTTATGTTTTTGATAAAACTGAATCACCGTAAGCCCTTCCAAACATTCGCAATGATTTCGCACACGATTTATGGTTAGAGCTACAAGTTTTTAGACAAATTCTTTCTTCGAAATTTTTATCAATTGTAAAAATCGCAACGCTCTGCTGAGGTGTCCCGATTTAAGCAGCTGCTGTTAACAAACTGGTTTCACACATCACGCTCATATTTGCATATTAATTAAGGACAGTCCCACTGAAAACATATTTTTGGAGATATCATTTACCTGGGGAATTTAATTATAAATTCCGGAAACTTTTTGTCTCAATATATGCACCGCAAATATAACAAAATTTGTCAGGATCTTGTTTACATCTTCTCTAAGACATTTTGTACTAGATGTTGCAGAAAAGAAATTTATGAAACACATTGTTTATCTGAAATCTGCAAATGCATACCCTCGTAAAAATCAAAACCAAAAATGGTCAAATCGCTATAATTGCTTAAAAACCAAACATTTTCGATTTGTAATTGTTATTTTCCATATATACTTGCTTATATGGTATAACCATGTTCAAAAATAAAATTGTGACCTTTGTTATTGAAATTCGGAGAGAATCCCGAAATAAAATATTTTAATAAAATCGAGTGAGTTTTTCTAATAACTACGCACCTTTGTGCGTCAACGGGATACAATTAGGTGAAAGTTTTCCCTCGTCCCATATAACTATTGTCAGGATTTTCAAATATGCGGTTGATCTTGCTCCTTATATAATATATTGGTTGTGGTATTCCATAGAAAAATAGAATTTTTTACAGGGATGAAAAAAGTTCAACACATACTTAGCCGTTTATTTTTTCACTTAAAGTTTTACACAAAAAAAAATATTTATAATAGTTCGATTTTGTGTATGTAATACGCACTTTAAAAAACTATTGATTGAAGAGTTTGCAAATCTCGCGATCGAGGCTTGAATGTACTTATTTTATGAAGATATGTACTTATTCACTCAATTGGGATATTTATTGTTTTTGAATATAATTAATAACAACAAATAAGTATAAAAGTAAAACAGAAGCTTTGCTATAAATATATATATACAATTTGCACATATAATTGTAAAACTTTTTATGTGCTGGTACGACATGGCGTATGCGTGCTCATCCACTCAGAGTTACTTATTTGCCAATAGCAATTTACATTTGCCCACAAGCGATAATTCGTTGCTCTACATTTGTTGTGATTTTTTGTTGTATATTGCAAATGCAAATGCGTTGTTTTTTATTTTCGCATTTCAATTTTACGGTAGACTAACTAGTTTGTAGTTTTGAATTTATGGCACTGGGACTTGGCACCACTAATTGATGTTACTCATACCACATGACGCACACGTAGTGCGTTTAGTATTTATGCACTATAGATCATATGACATCATTGTCTAAATACATGGGCCAAAAGAGCCAAACAAATTTTTGTCTAAAAACTATTTGAAGCTTGGTAAAGAACAGGGTGCACAAACAGTACTGAGCGAAATAATCGTAATATAGCGTAAACCTATAGCAGTTTTACAGCTGGAGATACAGATTACTCACACCGAACTCTCCACAAATAAAATAGTTTTCCATACAAAAATTTATTTTGATCACCCATTTTGTATGGCAGCTGTATGCTACATATAGTGCTTCGACTCAGCTCGTGACACTGTTCATTAGGTAGGTCAAACAACGAATATTTTTATACTCTCGCAACAAAGTTGCTAAAGAGAGTATTATAGTTTTGTTCACATAACGGTTGTTTGTAAGTCCTAAAACTAAAAGAGTCAGATAT